CAGGGCTCCGGTGCGAGAGCCTCTCCCCCGCCGCAGGGTCCGTTCTGTCTGTCCCTGGGCAGGGCCCGGCCCGGCGTAGGTCTGGCAGAGGAAGCCCTGCAGGACACTCAGAGTGAGGACAGCCGTGGGGCGGCCTGCAGGCCCACTGTCACTCCCGTCTCAGGCGAGGTCAGGCGAGGGACAAAACCCTGCCCACACACACTGTCCGCCTCCAGGGGTCCTCAGCCGGCCCTCCGGCAGAGCAGGCTTCCCCACTTTAGGGGTGTAGAAACAGGCCCACTGGCTGGGATGACCTGCCCAAGGCCTCAGGGCAGGTTACAGGGAGTGTGGCCTCCACGGCGGGTCTGTGTGGCCTCACAAGCACACAGGCCTCCCAGGAACAAGTGTCCCCACCCCGTGCCACTGCTGGGAAAAGACCCGCAAAGCAGAGGGACTCGCACGGTCCCCCCGCCCGAGTACATACAGGGGTTTCTAATGCCCTGCCCCTCCAGAAAAGACCTGAGGAGGCTCCCTAGCAAAAAGACAGGAAAACAATGTACATCAGAAGAGGGAGGAGAGTGTAGAAACCCCACTGACTAGCGCGTACCTTGAGCTCCAAGTTTCGCCCTGAGCTTCCCGTTGGTCAAAGGGAAAAGGGACCCTAGATGTTTCCAAGGCTGTCCCTGCGGGGTGTGGTGAGTGTGCCCTAGGTAGCTGCTGGTGCAGTTGCTGAGGTAGAGAAGGGCTCCCGGGCTTTCTGTGGGGGCTGAGCTCGGACGAGGGGCGGGTAGGGCAGAGTCCCGTCCGAAGGCTGAGGGAAGGGAGGCCTGGGACTGGCCTGATGCTGTGACCCCCGGCTGTTCCAGGGGAACCCTGAAGTGGCCGAGTGGGCAGAACCACGTGGGAGACTTCCGCCAGGGCCTAGAGCACGGGTGAGACTGCCTGGGGCCTCCTCCCCCATCGCCAGCCCCGGCCCCAGCTCCCAAACCCCAAGCAGGACTGTAGAGACCACCCGCTCCCCCGGTGCACTGGGACTGAGGCCCTGAGTAGGGGCGTCTCAGCTCAAGGCCACAGCAGGGCACCCCAAGGTACCCCCAGGGTGAGGGGTTCTGAGAGGGGCCCTCGGAAGCGGGCGGCCGAGCACCTTCGAGCACCTCTCTCCCCTGAGGAGGCACGCGGGGTGGCACGGAGGGCGTGAAGGCATCCCGGGCCAGGGCTGCGCTAGGCAGTGGCCCTGGGGCTGACGTCCACCCGCCCAACCACGCCAGCTTTGGCATCCGCCTGGTGCCCCAGGCCTCCGAGGACAAGTTCGACTGTTACAAGTGCCACTGGCAGGACGGCAGCGTGTGTGGCTACGGCATCTGTGAGTAAGTGCCCCCTGCGGGCGGGCGGAAGTGTCCGGCTGGGACTGTGGGCTGGTGGGCAGCACGTCTGGGCGGGGTGTCTGGACGGTGGGACGGTGGGCTGGTGGGCAGCACGTCTGGGCGCGGCAGGCCTGGCTGTCCGTGACCCTCTCCAGGTATGGCAGCGACGAGGTGTACAAGGGCTACTTCCAGGCGGACCTGCGGCACGGGTTCGGGGTCCTGGAGAGTGGCCCGCAGGCCCCCCAGCCCTTCAGGTATACCGGCCACTGGGAGAGGGGCCAGAGGAGCGGCTACGGCGTCCAGGAGGACCGCGACAGGTGAGTCAGGCAGAGGCTCGGGCACACTCGTCCCACGCCTCCCCTCTGCCCTTGCCGGGCGCCGAGGGAGCCCTGGCCATCCCGGTCCCTCCCGTGCTGTCAGAGAGGACTGACTCCCGTCTGGGCAGCTGCAGACCATGCCCCGTTCAGGCCCCCGGGCCATGGGACAGAGCCCCAGGTCCTTGGGTCAGCATTCGAGGCTTTGCCTGCGCCTCTGACCTCCGCCGGGCCGTGCCTGCCGGGCACCCCTCCAGCCTCTCGGGGCCACTGCGTGTGCCCATGTGCGTGTCCTACGCATCCCTGTCTGTGATTCTGTCTGCGCGTGGGCCACCCCCTCCCCTGTCCTTCCTGCTCCTGTCCACCGCCCCACCCCGTGGAGCACTCGGAGGCACGGGGTGATGCTCTGGGCTCTGGCCGCACCCTCTCCCCAGGGGCGAGCGCTACATCGGCATGTGGCGGGCCGACCAGCGCCACGGTCCGGGGGTCGTGGTCACCCAGGCGGGCATCTGCTACCAGGGCACCTTCCAGGCGGACAAGATAGTGGTGAGCGCCCCTCTCCTGCACCCCACCTGCTCTGGGCCCCGAGGCTGCGCGGAGGCCGGCCGGGGGTGGGCGGAAAGGGAAGCTGGGTACCCTGGGTGCCGGAGGGAGCGGGAACCTGGGCAGGATCCCAGCTCCGCTGCCTCCTACCTTAGCCTAGGCCGAACCCGAACCTCCCAGCCTCAGGTTCCCCAGCAGCGACCTGGGCTAATCACACTGAGCATAGACTCAGGCCCGAAGCCGCACACCCTACCTTGGTGCTGGGCTCTGGGCCACGCCTGCCCTGTGAGCCCACAGTATCCTCCCCGGAGCCTGCGGTCGGTGTCGTGATCCTGGTTCTCTGGTGACAAACGAGAGGCCGCGGGTCAGCACGCCACTGCTGGCTG